TATCCATATTCAGGCAATCATTTAAGAACAGATATAATGCTTAGGCTTCGCTTCGGCACAGTTTTAGTGGACATCCACAAAGGTGATTTATTTAATTGCTCTAATTTAAGAAGGTACTGGCCCCTCAGTAAGAGTGGCTGACAAAGTTGTATATAAAGACGCCTGCAAAAATGCCTGTCCTGCACTCTGTCTGTAAGAATAGTCCCCTGTTGTACAAAGTTATAGCAAAAAAGCAAACAATCCAATTACATTTTCACATCCTACCAATTAATGGGTGGGGGGAGCATGTCTTCTGCGAGGGGGCTTCAAAAGGTTCATAAGAAAATTACATTCTCTTTTAGTTCCATTTTCCATGAGCTTTTTAAGCACCCTCATATATTTACTATTAGTACCATCTCAAATGGGTATGCATGTCTATCCTATCAAGAGAAAAATGTTAACTTTGTTTATTTGTTTCTACTTTATGCCATCCACCACCACAGTCAACTCTGAGTTACATCTATGTTGCACGACAAACAGTGAAGAGCCATGACAAAGTGTACCCCTAACTCCTTCGCAGAGACTTCTGATGACCATGACACACTGATTTGAACAAACCTTGGTTTCTCATATTGCTTGGCTCCTTAGCTTCTATGTCTTACTGTTTCTTTGTCCTCTATTTCTTTGTCTTTTCATCATTTTGTATATATTTTCAGATCGTCTGGTTAATGGGAGGCCATGGTTCTGAGGCTGAGGAAAGCCGACCTCGGATGAGAAAGCAGTCATGGGTAATTTACAAAACAGATCACTTGCAGACCAGGAAGCTGGTGCTGACTGCATGTGGAGCAACTACCCAATCACTGCTTTCCTGGTGCTTAAAAGAGAGACCGATTCTGCTAGTATCCCACCGACAAAATGGGATTGACAATTAATTGCAGACCAGAAACGCCATGAACTCGGGACCAATGAAGTTGGGAATCTGTTTTTCTGTGTGACAACAAAACTGCATCATTAGCGCATCACGCGCCGCATCGCATCTCTCCTGGTCCCTCATTATACTCCCAGAGCTGGAAAGGGGAGATGCTTGGTCTCTCTCAGAGCCACAGTTCAATCACTACGTGCTATGGTTTTCCAAATGCCCATTTTATGCCCTCGGGTTAATAAATTCACCCATAAACTAACTGACTAGATTCCATGCACCTGAAGTTGAATCATATCATCTGATAAGTATGAGCATACATTTATGAAGAAGGTACTCAATAAACAGGTCTACTATGAAAATAAGAAATCGAGTCATAAATAAAACTCATATCACAATCCTAATCTTAATGTACATTTCAGAAGTATATATTTCCATTTACTGCAAAAATAGCTGCTTCCTTTGATCTTGAGCACAACCACCCCATCAATCTTTCACAGAGGAATATTGATTTCTATATAAGAAAGTAGCAATTTAACCTGTAGTCATCATAGAGGTCTGAGAGACCCAGGAATTCAAGTTTCTTTTCAGGCAGGAAAACCAAGAGGTACCTTTTGTCCACACCAAACACCCTTGCAGAATTCAGACTGACTTTTGGGGGTCAGGAGGATTTCCCGGAACAGGCCCCTTTGTCACTGAATGAGACCCCGTAATCATTTTAAACTGTATCAATAAAATAAAATTCAAATTTAAAAAAACATATAAAGAGGGAGGTTACACTCTGCTTTGTAGACTGGGCACATCCCCACCTGTTCAACTTAAAACTGTAAACGGAATTGAGGGCTATGTGTCATTTTCCCAGGCTGGTGCACTAAAGAGCGAGGGAACAAACAGCAATGGAGAATACCACTCCTTGGTGTTGGAAGGTGAGGGTTCAACTGTTTATGATTCCAGTGGGACTCGAAATCATGCTCTGTTGGCTACTGCTGACTTCTTTGTAAATGTAAAACTACAAATAGCAATTCACAGAGTATTTTGTGAGAGCTTTCTTAGTCATATGTTGGGTTCTATAACAGCACATGCTGAACAAAAAAAATGTTCACAAAGCTTCAGCAATTCTGTTTGAAACAAATTTGACCAAGACAGCTGCAGCACTTGGGAAGAATAGCGTGCATGTGTCTAGGCATAAATGAGTTCCCCAGCATAGGTCGAATACTGTGTTTACTAACAAGGCTGCACTATAACAAAGAAAGACATCAAAATGTTTACTCACCAACTTCCACCATATGCATTCAACTGGAGACCGGGCTTGTTTTCTTTTTTTTTTTACCAAGTCCCCTCCCTTTGGAAGTCATTAGTATACCTAGCTTCAAAATAGGCCCTATTAATTCAGTTTGGTTTGCATACTGAAAAATTCTCAAATGCATGGCATGATTTGAGGGACATTTTGAAGATAACAAGCTAGCCTAATATAATGAACCTTGTGAGCGCTGGCACATAACAGGATTCCATTGTTTTCCAGGTCTCCCATGTTTTCTGCCTTTGGGAGGGACAGTCTTACCCTGGGAAGGCTTCTAACAGTATTAAGGGAATATATCTGTGTTTTCATTCTAACAGGCTTCCACTATACACAAGTTGATGGAGACTTTGCTGTACTGCTTGATAATGGAAGGAACCAAGAGATAAGGCTGCCGAATACCCTGCTTTTACATACACATACCCAAAGGGCAACTGAGAATTAGTATGAAATGATATACCAATGTCTACCTGCCAGCGCGTTTGACTCCTAGGCCAGGAGTCATTCCCAAGGCACCCACTCCCTCCCTCGCCCAGACACCAAAAGGAACATTTATGTCTGCCCTCCTTCCCATCACCCAGTAACTGTTACTCATGGCTGTTTCCTGCGCATGCATTTACAAGAAAGCGCAATGCATCGACCCTTGAAAAGATCGATTAGGATGACCCTCAAGTATTATTTAGTATCAGGTAAAAAGCAACTACCTAAAGGCTCCCCAATTCACCCTAAGTCCAAATCTTGAAACAGGGCCAGTTCTTTTCCATACTACAACTAAAGATGTGTGGTGGTCTTCCAGATGGTAGTATCTTAAATCAGTTCCAAAAGGCCCTGGAAGCATAGTGCTTAGTACAAAAGTTTACAAATGGTTCCTTTCGATCCTTTCCATGAACTTACAGCATTTTATTCAGTTATGATTTGGAAAAATGTGATATATTTCCAGCTGCCCGAGGCCTTGCCTTCATCTAGTCCCCGTAAGCGACACGTTTCACACGGCGCTGTACCTGTGTGCACATCTAGAAGGCTCCCGTACTTTCTTCTCTCTGTGGAATCAAGATCTAAAACTGAAAAACTAAACTCACTGCCTTGAGTCAATTCAGACTCATAGCCACCCAATGACAGAGGAGAACGGCCCCATGGGGCTTTCAAAGCTGTCACTTGTAGGGAGATCGCCCATGGAGAAGCTCACTCCATGTGGTGGATTTGAATTGCTGAGCTTTCAGATGGCAGCCTAGCTCTTACCCTCTCTACCACTAGGGCTCCTCTAATCAAGACTGAAACCTTCTGAACCAAATGCATCCTGCAGGGAACAAAAAAGAAGATGGAAGACTCACATTTCAGTGTGATTTGCAAACACAGGACTGTCACCTCTTGGCCATTTTACCTTCTGGAAACTATTTGAGAGGGGGGAAAAATCCCATGGCCCCAAACTAACAATGTTGCTGGATTCTCAACAGCCATTGTTCATGTTTCATCAATTATACTTAACATTTCAGATTTTAAAAGAGGGGATCGGAGAAATTAAGAGTATGTTCCCTTATAAGCAACACAGTCAAATCACTGCTATTATAGAGTGCTCAATAAATGTCCTATGCTGGAGTGCCTTTAAACTATTTTAAGATATAATCTGACCTAGTTGGATATCACATGAAATAGAGGGTGCCTTGTCCACAGAGTCAACTTTTCATACCATGACATGCATGCCTGGGATCTTTCCCAAACAAGAAATTCCAGAAATTATGCAATGACAGACTACCTTGTTACAAGCACCTTACGTAAGGAGCTCAAAGTTGGATTCACAAGAACTTCAATTTTCTTAAAAAAGAAATTTAAGCAACTCCGAGGTAATATCAGGCATTTATATGAAATTCAGAGGTTTTTTTCAGGCTCTCATCTACAGTCCATGATAACACTATGATACAATTAAAAACAAAACTAGGGAGGGATGACTTTTCCAAATTAATGCTGACCCCAATAGATTCTTAGTTCAAAGTGTCTTATATTTTTTACCCAAATCCAAAGTATATTAAAATGCAATCCTGAAGGTCATATTAGATAGCATTTCCTTATCGTGTTATTCACTATTGTCCCTGGAGATTAATGGCCAGTATATTCAATCCACTCCCCTGCTTACTGCTTTCCACTCGTGCATTGTTGCTCCAGAGAAGGGCAAAGTAACTCTGATTTTTAAACTTAGGTTGCATTTACTTCTAATTTCAAATGTCATTAAAGGAAAGAGAAGGTCTGTATAATTTTCAAAGGATGTTGTTGCTGTTAGGCACCTTCAAGTTGACGCCAACTCATGGGGGGACCCTATGTATCCAGGAGAGCCTGGAATAAAAAATAAAAACATGGGTGAGGCTACTCGAGGTCTTTTTTTCTGTTCTTTTCATTTTGTTTTGTTGTTTTTTCTAAGTCCACATTGTCAGAGTTCTTTATATGCTGAGATGGTCTATGACTGTTTTTTTGGTTTTTTTGCCCAAACCTGGCACAACCATTTGTTAAAGAAACGAAGAGCAGGCCCTCTTACATACTCTGAGTCCTGTGTCTCATCGGGATTTAAATGCACGTATCTCATTATATCTGTGACTTTACACTGTAGAACACCTTGTGGTGAGTTCAGAGCGGTTACGTGTCTCATAACACCTTTTGGGTAAATGTGATTATGATGGCGAAGATGTTGACAAACGTTTTGGCCCAGCTCTTTCTGACACCCATTTGAGCACAAGGAATGCCACATTCTGAGGTGAATCCCCACATCCTGCTTTTGTGTGGCTGCACAAAGAAATAAACTTGATAAATCTATCGTTGATGTTGCATGTTTAATAGAAAGATCTGAAGCCATAATCACTGTAGCTGCTGGGCATCTTATTTCTTCAAGAATTCTTTCAGTGCATGCATTAACTTTGGTTAAATTATTCTGGGCTGAAAAGGTAGAGTATTTAAAACAGAATGGTTTCAGAAGCATCATCGTAACAGACCAATTTCAAAAGATTCAGTTCCTAAATTTTAGTTGGTCATCCCTTTGCAGATCACTTATTTCAATTTGAAAAAAAGGAGGGAATCGTGTGCTGTTATCTGCGTGGCCATTAGTCTCACACAAAGAAGAGAACAATAAAATAAGACTAAGAAGTCATTCTTCCAATGATTGTCATTGAACTGTTACATTAGTAAACATTCACAGTATGAAGTCTCTCTCAATCTCCAGCATATAAAATAGTGCAAAGGAGAAAGGAAAAAAAAGGCAGCAGCATTCCAGTCCTGTTTATCTGCAACAAAACTCGTTATATCGCCTCTGACTTCATTTATTCCATAATATTAGGTATTTGCTGTTATAGCTTCCCAAAATTAATAATAAAATATAATTGATTTCTAAAGACCCCTTTGGCCTTTTTAAAAGTTAATTTCCAGTTAAAAATAAACTTTAATTAAATCCAAGATAAAATTGTGACCTATATTCTATTAAATAAGTTACTCTCTCTTTTTTCTACACAGTAATTCTTACAATTTTTTAAAAACAGTAACTATGGAATTCAAAGACATACAAGATGTTATTAAAGCACTGATCAATGACTGCTCAAATTCATTAATTCTTACATAGTAAATACTTCAAAATGCCAACTTTTCCCAACACTGCACAGTTACTAACAATGTTGACAATTTACCTACACCACACACACATATGCACACACAAGTGCGCACACATACACGCACATTCACTCAGGCACACATTCTCTCTGTGGAACTTTCTTTACTGTTAACATCTTTTCCAGTTAATGTGCAAAATGTTTGCAGTCCAATAAAAAATATAAAGATAGATTTGCTCCTATTTAAGCCTCCCTCTTCACCAAGATGTGTCATTTATTTGATATGTAATACAAGTTTAGTAACAATTGTCGTGTATAACCATTAAATGGTGTACTACTGTATGCATTGGACTCATTTGCATATTTCATTTTCATAACTGCACTCTCTATGCATAAATATATTTGGAGATGCTGAGGGGAGGAAGGGAGGGCCGGGTGGAAAAAGAGAGTCACACGTCTGTCTCCACAGCCTTCACATTCGAACAGTTGTTTTTATCCGTTTCACTGTCATCTCCCTTTTCCTGCCCCTTCTCCTCCTTTGCACAAAGAGACTCCTTAACCCCTTCTTCCATCTCTAAATACTCTGACTTGTCCCCCAGGGAGGAAGAAGTAGAGCTACGGAATTTCTTCAGCAAATTGGAAGGTAGGTATGGACAACTGACTGCGTTCTGCGTCAGCTGGGTCTGTTCCTCATTTTCAGTCTCTCTGTGGTAGAAATAGTTAAAGTTAGAGACAATCACTGGCACTGGCAACGCAATGGTTAAGACACCTGCAATGGCACACAGGGACCCCACGATCTTGCCCCCCACAGTGATGGGCTTCATGTCCCCATAGCCCACAGTTGTCATGGTCACCACGGCCCACCAGAAGGCATCGGGGATGCTCTGGAAATGGGTCGTCGGCTCATCGGCTTCTGCGAAATACACGGCACTGGAGAAAAGGATGACCCCAATGAACAGGAAGAAGATCAGAAGGCCCAGCTCCCGCATGCTGGCTCGCAGGGTGTGGCCCAAGATCTGCAGGCCTTTGGAGTGCCTGGAGAGTTTGAAGATCCGGAACACTCGGACCAGTCGGATGATCCTGAGGATGGCAAAGGACATGGCCTGTTGCTGCTGTCCGTTGCCACCTCCCTGCTGCTGGGCCAGGTCAGTGCCCAGGGTGATGAAGTAAGGCAAAATGGAGACAATGTCAATGATGTTCATGATGTTTTTGAAGAAGAGCGCCTGGCTGGGACACGCAGAGCAGCGGACCACGAACTCAAAGGAAAACCACACAATGCAGACTGTCTCCACAATGAAAAAGGGGTCGTTGAAGATCGTGTGGCCCGAGTTCTCCAGGTGGGGCGTCGAGGTGTCGTTCAACAACGCGCTCTGCCCACCAGCACCCATGGCCATGATGGGATCCCTGTCATCCCTAAACTCGGGCAAGGTTTCCAGGCAAAAGATGACAATGGAGATCAAGATGACCAGGACGGATACGATGGCTATGCCCCTGGCTGGACTGGAGCTCTCGGGGTATTCAAAGAGAAGCCAAATCTGCTTCTTGAACTCATTCTCGGGCAGCGCCCTGTCCTCCTCCTCCCTCACGAAGCCCTCGTCCTCCCGGAACTTGAGCAGGGCCTCCTCGCCCAACTGGTAGAACTTCACCTCCTCGGTGAAGATATCAAAAGGGACGTTGACGGGTCTCTTCAGGCGGCCTCCGGATTGGTAATAATACAAGATGGCATCAAAGCTGGGCCGGTTCCTGTCAAAGAAATACTCGTTTCGCAAAGGGTCAAAGTATTGAGTCCTCTTCTCGGGATCTCCCAACAAAGTCTCTGGAAATTGGGCCAGCGTCTTCATCTGGGTCTCAAAGCGCAAGCCTGACACATTGATCACCACGCGCTCGCAACAGTCCCGGTAGCGGACCGAACTGTAGCCTCCACCTCCCCCATCCTCCTGCGGCAGCAAGTCCGTGTAGGAGCATTCGTCGCCATATTCATCATCACTATAGTAACACCTTCCCTCCTCTTCCTCCTCCTCGTCCTCCTCGTCCTCCTCCTCGTCCTCCTCGTCCTCTTCCTCACTCAGCTCTCGCAGGATCTTCTCCTCGGAGCCGCTGGGCATCAGGTCGGTGCAATGGGGGAAACTGCTTTGACCCTGATGGGTTTTCTTCTTCTCAGGCCGTTGTCCCCGCCGCCTCCTCCTCCGGCTACCGCGGCCACTTGGAGGGTCGTGAGAGGTACAGGCCCCACGGGACTGGTGGTGGTGGTGGGAGCCCCCTCCAGAGCCCCCACTGCCTTCAACAGCAGCCGTGGCTGCTGCCACCGCGGCTGCTGCAGCTGCCCTTGAATGAGCAAGTCTCTCGCGCTCCCGGGCCCGCGCCTGCGCCGCATAGCCATAAGGCATGTGGCTGTTGCACCCTGAGCTCTCGGCACTCACCATCGCCACCTCCATGGCGGTGGGTTTGGGGAATGGCTGCTTCCAGTTGGAGAAGGAAAATAGGGCAGCTTCTTGTCTCACCAAATGAAGGTAGGTTTGGAAGCCTTAAGCAGATTGCTTGGAAGACTAAGGGCAGTTTCAGTCCAATTTTGCATTTTCTGTTTTTAAATCAGCATGCCCCATGCTCTGGCTACCCAGAGATTGCTGTCCAGAGCTTGGCTGAACAGCCCAGCACTCTGAAGCCTAAGTCAGAGAAGGTAGGGGGGGTGTCTCCCCAACACCGATGTTCAGGAATAGATGTTCAAATTTGGAAATTGGTCCAGGATGCTGCTGCACGATGATTCAAAAGCAGAAAGGATCTGACAGCCAGCAGTGTGCCTAGAAAATGAAATATATGTGTATTTTTTTTCTGCCCAGGAAATTGTCCAAAGCTCAGTCCATCAAATTTAAATGAAGCACAAAAGAACCTCTAGGCTTAGCACTTGTTTTCCGGTGACTGCTTGACCCATGTTAAGAAGTGACTTGATGTACGTTCAGCCATTGCCGCGCAAGCCTATCAGGATGACTTGTCAGGTTCTCCCCTTAAGTTCATCAAACGCTTCCCGAACCCAAGGGCAATGCCAAGCTACAGATCGAGGCAAAGACCCTGGGAAGTAGAGAAGTTGGAAGATGAGGAGTCAGCAGGGACATACACAGCTCTGAGGTCTCCATAGAAATCAAAGAAATGCAGAGCATCCTTCGGCTAAAACCATGCAGAAGAAGCACTTCACCTGAAAAGGGTAGGGAAATAAGCATAGGAGAAAAATAAAGAGAGGAATAAAACCATACCAAAAAACTGAGCATTCTTTCACATTAACTTTCTCCTCTTGTGCTCAAGCAAACCTTATGAAGCACCAAGCAGCCGTGTGTTTTCAGAGGATGGGGCAGACTTGTCCTACCTCTCTCTAAATATCCTTCTTCCCTCCTCCTTGTTTATTATTACAACTCAGTCTCTTTCCACGGCAACTCCATTAGTGTCCCTCTTATGACCCAGGTGGCTCTTGCATTAATCTTCCTTCACCAAGGCCAAGTCTTAGTCCTCAGTCATTCTCTTTGTATCACAGTCACAAGGCTGTTATTATGGGGCAGCTTCCATCAGTCATTTATTGCAAGGCTTTGGTTTTTAATTGTTTTTAAATTTTCACTTACAAATGATGTCTGGATTTAATGCTTTTCTACTCCTCTATTTTAATTCAGGATAAAGGAAGTCGTCATAGAACACACATTTCTTTCATCTCCATTCTAACTACTGGAACAAGCCTTATCACCCCATCTACAAAGAGTAGGTCATCATGCTAATAACTCCTCCATCTCACTCTTAGAAGAATTAAGTGAGATAATGGATGTTGATAGAGAAGTGTCGTGTCTTGTATATAACAAATGACAATACACACTAACAGTTACTAGTAACAGGATGGATAGTAACCTAGCTCTAAAAATGTATGACTTTATGTTACTACTCTCTGAAGTAGGAGAAAGACAGAAGATATAGAGAGATCTGGGACATTCTAAGACACACCAAAGGCCCGTGCTAGTTTGGCATCTTTGATTTCTTAAAGCATGCCCCTCTTGTCCTTAGTCTATGCCCTAGAATTCCGGTACTCTGCCTACCACCCACATTTTAGGAGTTAATCCCAGTTTCCATATCTCTAATCATCACCTTCTCTCCTTTTAGTGCCTCCTTGTTCACCTCCATGGTTCTTCCTACACTCTTCTTGAGGGACTGTCTCAATCATTTTTTTCAAAACCCAATTTGTGTGGACTTTTTCTCAACCTATCAGGCTTCCCTCCCTATAATTCAATCCAAACCTACCACCCCCAACACTCTTTTTCCTCTCCCGACATCCTCTTGTATTTCTAACCTTCCACTTCCCAGTCCTGGAGTTTATTAGCAGCCCTGATCTGTTCCTCCTGTCACATGGTATCCCTTGCCTTTGTCCCTTACTTTTCTCTTACATTGCCCCAGCCAGCACCTGTGAAACTGCTCCCCCAACCTCCTGCCCCCTTTGGCTTCTTACATTCCTTCTGTACAACAGGGCTTCCAAGATTCCGGAGCATGGCCCAGAGGGCTGGAGAGGGTGAAGGGCTTCCACCAGCTCCTATTACTGGAAGCACCTGGGGAGCAGAAGAGCAATGGCTTTCTGAAGCCACTAACAGAATTCAGCTCTTGACCACCTGCTGCTCCTTGCTGAATCCTGCCAACCTAGAAACCTAAACACACTGGCAATCGCATACCTTTGCTCCATGTACACATTCTCCTGGGAAAAGAGGAGAGCTCTAATGGAACAGGAAATCCAGAAAACACACCCCTGAGGGTTTCTCACAAGACATCCCCTTCTTTTGCCTCACTCCCCAAGCACCTCAAATGCTGCTGTGTTTACCCTCAAGAGGTCTCCAAATCGCTAATGATAAAGTGACGCTCAGTGGAGGGTTGGACCAAGACCCTTCAAAGACTTTTACAAGCTGAGTAAACTGTGAGTTGGCTTGATCCTTCTCTTCCCTAACGCCTCCAAAGCAGTAATGAGACGCTATTTAAATAAATGAAATGCCCAATATAGCCAACAGGACTCTTGTTTGTCTACGCACACAGGCACACAGCTCTACCCTTTCCAAGCGACTCCCCAGAAAGTCTTGAATCAGGAGTCTTCCAAATCTGAAGGAGAGCTAGAGCTGCAATCCCTACCTCTGCTCCTCACCAAATGATTTCCAATTTGTTTATCAATTTGTTTGGTTCGGGCTCCTTAGTTTTTGTTTATCTAACACTTTCCCCAACCCGCCCTACTAAAAACAAATGGACTTCCCTTTAATTTGTTGACAGTCACCTCACTATCCCTGATCTTAAAACATAATGGGGCGGGGAGATTCTTCGACTCAGCAAGGCAGGATGGTTTTAGCATCTCTCTTCCTTCTGGAGGTAGTGATGTTAGCAACATCTATTCAAGCTGACTCCCAGGAGCCTTCATGGGGAAGACCTTTACAGGGAAATGTCCCTGCTGCCTGCCTTAACACCATTAAACTAACAGGATTTTGCAGGCTACCTCTTCCCCAATAACAGCCTAGCAGCCTGTCTCTCTTCCCCACCCAGCAATGAGAAGGGCTGTTTTCCTCTTAGTGTTAATAATTCTAGCAACTGTCTTTGGGTGGTACCTGAATCCTCTCTCTGAGGGAGAATACAAAATCTGAAAGGCCAGCACCATGAGAAAGATACACTTCAACGCACGCCATTTATACAGTCCCTGTCTGTTGTTCCAATGCTCAGAAAATGCACGCAAACCAAATGTTGGGAGAGGCAGCAATTTAAACCCGTTCACCAGCTGTTCCCAAAGAAACGGAACCGGTGAGGCTGGGATGAGCAGAAGGATGCTAAATCTAAACCCCACCTCGTAGGGAAACGACATCTTTAATCGCACCCTCGCCTCCACACCTCGGTTCCCGCTCGAGCACGTGAAGCGGGGCGCACGCACCCCTTCCCCAGGGTTGGGAAAATAACAACTGTTGGCCCCCCAGAGCGCCGCGCAGCATCTGCACCCCCCTTCTGCCACCTCCTGGTTTATTTTTAACCGCCTTCCATTGATGCCCTTCTGTCACATTCCCGATATTATTTATCCCCCAAATGTCCACGGGTTCTTAGCAGCCAAAAGAGGAGGGTGGAGGAAAGAGAAGAAAGGTAACCGACTTACCGTTCCCCGGAGGGGCGCAATACAAAAATAAAAGCTGTCCCCGGGTTGGCTGGTTCTTCCTCCTCCAGTGGTAACAGCTGGAGGAGGGGGAGGCTGGTCCTGGGGGTAGAAGAGATGCTTGCGGGCTCGGCAGGTAGAGCCTCCAAAATATCCTCGGAGCAAGTTCTGTTGCCTGGCCAGGGTGGCGGGCAAGAGGAGGGGTCCCAGAGTCTCGCTGCCGGCGCCCAGGGGGCTGGGGATCGGGCTGCCTCGGTGAAGACCCCGGGACTACGGGGTCCTCTGGAGTTCCGCACACGATCGGGCTCAACGGAGCCAGGAAGTCAGGGCTCCCTCCCCAAAAGCAACAAAATCCTAGACAGCAGCGATCACTTGTGAAGCCCAAAGTCCTCCTCCTCCAGCAGAAGCAGCCTGGTGCCCAGGATCGGCTGCAGAGGCAGCACACGCCTCCCCGGGCCGCGAATGCGCGCCGGGCGGGGGCGGGGCGGGGGCGGGGCCGAGGGTGTGGCGTGCGGGCGCCGCCCAGCACGGCCAGGGACGCCCAGTCACGACGCGGAGGCTCCCCGCCCCAAGGTGGGCCCTCCGAGAGACTGGGAGTCCCTGGCGGTAGCCCCTGAGAAGAGTAGATCCCCGAGAGAAGGGAAGCACCTAGTAGAAGCTGGACTGGGGGTCCTGATGGCAACTCAGGATCCCTGACACCCCCACCCCCCAAAAAAAAGTTAGGTAGAAGACCCGAGAGGAAGTCCATTCTCAAAAGTGGGGCGCTCCTGAGGGTTGGCTCTTCGTCAGCCCACAGTTTGTGGAGCAGAGGAGCGAGTATCTGTCCGGCGAGGATGTGCTCAGAAAATTCCCCCTGCGCTCCTGCGTCCCTGCCAGTCTTGCTAAAGGAAGTGTGTCTGCTTCGTCTGGGCGTCTGCTCTCTTTCCGGGCTGGGAGGAGACGAACTCTCAACACCTAGTGGGCTCCCAAAGAGGAGAGGTTGCGGACACGGGAATCAGGCCTAGCCTGGGCGCTACAGAGGGATCGGAAATTGTTGGAAGGCTGTGAGCAGGCTTCAAGTCCAGTCTGGGACCTGGGAGTTGGGGAGCAACAGAGAAGTAGCCCCGGCAACGCTGTTGCTGCAAAAAGAACTCAAACTGGACCGCAGCTTTCTTTCCCTAAAGCTCTAGCACAGCCCTGGGCTCCGTAGCGCCACCACTTCCCTTAAACACCGAAAACCAGGATCCCTGCTGGGGAGGTGAGCGCGCCCTGCAGCACCCCACTCAGGAGATGGACTCGCAGGCTGCTTAGGGAGCGGGGAGCGCCACCGAGCGTGGATGGAAGCACGCACTTCCTACAAATACCCCAGATGAAGGTTAGCTTCCAGGAGCACCAGACACCAGAAGCCCTGGTGACATCCAGGTCCTGGACACCTCTCCTGCTCCCCCTGATGGGCCAAGCAAGCAGTGGCCTGGAGCCCCAGAACCGCTGGAGCAAATCCGACCTTGAGCACATCCGTTGGCGCCAAGGCTGCCACTATCGTCCTTTGCCAACAGCTTTGTTAGAGGGCTCTGTTGGGCCTCCTCCTTTGTGGCCCGCTATTAATTATTAAGGGAAATATTCCTGAGTTGAATTATAGATATGCCCTGTGCTCGCTCACCTAACCACTGCTGGCTGGGTACAGGGTATCTGGAAAGCTGCTTTTGGTTTCTGTTCAATTTTTCTTTTATCTTTCTAAAAAACTGAAACTATTTGAATTGTCTCTTGAAAAGAAATGGAAAGGGGGAGGGGAGGGAACCTAGTGTGAGTCTGGTTGTCCTAAAATCTTCCCTGGGCTTTGGGCTTGAATAATGTTACCTTTGGCTCTTGGACTGCTGCCGGTAGGAGAACTGAGAGAAAGGTACCTCTACCTTGGCTCGAAGTTGGCTCTTTGCCTTCATCGTTCTTTCCAGCAAGGAAGGAGAGTGGATTTCTCCACAAATAAGAACTATCACACTGGTCCAAAACACTCTGCACAGTGTGATGAAGTCACTGGCAGTTTTATACATAGAAGAAACAGCTCACTGCTTCTTGGGTGATAGAAGATTGGGCTGAGGATGCAGGATCTCAGGATGAGTTTCCCAAAAGCAATTTGCGAGATCAATTCTGAGCCGCTGGGGAATACTTTTAGGAAGATAAACAGTGAGGCTGGGTGACGTACAAAAGATGAAGCACGGACATTTTAATTGGATCACAGTAAAACTTTTTAAATTCTGTTGCCCTGTGCCGTTCGTTGTTCTTACCAGGGCTCCACGCACCGTAAAGTTCATTCTGGCTTATAGTGACCCTATAGGATGGGGTAGAACTGTGCCCTAGGATTTCCCAGACTGCCCATCTTAATGAGAACAGACAGTCGCCCATTTCTCCTGTGAAGCAGCAAGATGGTGGGTGGGTTCCAACTACTGGCTTTGAAGTTCATAACCCATCTCTTAACACACTAGCACATGGGGAGCAAGTTCCTATATAATGGCCCAGAGAAAAAAATTGAAATGCCTGAGAATTCTATAAATATTTGCATTCCTTCGGTAGCAGGAATCTGATTTGCTAAAACACCATGAGAATAGCACCTAGCAAAAGATATTTTCACCGAGATATGCAATCATAAGATGAGTATTTATTAAAAACGTGATCAAGGCTCTGATATCCATCGAGTATACCCAGTGCGCAATCCTGGACTGAATTATTTACATGTATATTTTCCTAATTCTATCTGCATGACTAAGTACTCTATGTGGCAAGTGCTATTTTAGTCATTGCCTTAGAGAATAGGAAACCCAAGCTTACAATAGTAAACTAACTTGTCCAATGTCACATAGTTAGTTGTTGAGGGAAGTAGGTCATGAAATCAACTCTTATGACTCTCTCTGATGTGAACAGACACCCCCACCCCACCCCACCCCCCACCCCCGCCCCTTCCACCCACCAGGGCTGGATCCTACTCACACAAAAAACATGTGCTATTCTTCAATTCTCATATATGAAGTGTATCACAAATCCATAGACACATTACAGACCATTATGGTATATGATAGAACAGAAGTGAGATAAAGGTGTACCTGGAGCACAAGGAATTGAGCAGCATCTAGGAAGAATCAAGCCAAGAGTCACAAGGAAAGGCAGGATGTGTCCGAAGAAGAGTGAGAATCGTAGTGACTACTGTGGAGAATCCATGGGCACCTGGTACTGGAGTGCATCCAGGAGCTTGGAAGATAGGCTGGCTTCATTAGAGAGAACATCCCATACCTCCAACACTTCCTTCATTCCATACATTCAACACTGCCCCATTAACCTATTTATAAAACACATTTAAAATTGCATTTATTCCCCCTGAAATGCTCTTAGGAATTCCTAGAAAATAAGTACTACAGAAACAGTCTTCACTTGTGCCCAATGAATGTCAACTGTGTCTCTGGCTGACAATTATTTTCTTTGGAGAAGAAAATTTGCTTTGCTTACCTTTTTAAGTCTTCGACTAGCCCAAATTCTCAAGTTCCCGACCCCAAATACACCTAATACCACAAACGATTTATCCTTACCTTGGAATTCTCTCCGTGGGAATACAAATTTTCCAGGCACATGTTGCTTACATACAAAGGGGCCACTGGTAGCAGATGCATCTCCTTTCCACCAAGCACTGTGGGAAACCCTGTGGGGTAGAACTACATCCAATATGATCGCTTTTGTTTCCTCGAGGACTGGAATCCACCGCAAATGGAAATGTTCTATTTATTTCTCCACTATCTCTCTAACTGATAACACGCTATATCCCTGAGCACTTTATCCCCAATGCTGTGTGACTGAGCACCTAAGGCTGCACTTGACCCAGAGTAGTTCTCAGGAAGACAATATTAAAGTAAATGAAGAATGTAGGCAGCTTCCATTTGCCAAGAGAGTTTGGTAAATATGTAGTGGGAGCACCAAAAAGCAACCGTTTTTGTTTTTTTTTACTTTTCCCCCCATAGTTCATAGGTTCTCAAACTTATTTGGCCTACTACCCCATTTTCAGAAGAAAAAAATTATTCAGTGCCCCCTTGGCAATTAGAAAATGTTGTGCTATAACCCATAATCCAGGAAAGAGTGTAGGTAGCTCCTCTTGCAGGTCCCTTGAATCTAGTTCCCTCAGGGGCTTGCTAAGGCTCTCAGGGGCTGGTATCTCCCAGTTGGGGTATCACTCTCCCATACCCTCTCAACGCTCCCCCTGGGGTAGCTACATAATATGTTGTCAATTTGAGACTTACGAGTGAAGAGGTGGAGTTTTAGCCTGTCAATCGGGTCACAGCATGATGACCTCATTTGGAGGAGCTGAGGTGGGACACATGCTCAGTCCCTGAGAGACATTACAGAAGAAGAACCACATGGTGCTCCACTGATGGCAGCCAAAGCCCTGGGTGCTGGAGAAGCCACATGGTGACCCCTGCCAGCACTGAGATGCTTCTACCGACACTGGCCTTCCACCCACTGGCCTGTGATCTTCCTGCATTTGGCGTCATTGCATGTGTTTAGTGAGTCTGAAGAGGACTTTATAGATTGATATCAGATATATGGGCTAATATCGGACTTATGGACACGATCTGGACTGGGCTGGGATAGTTTTTCAATATTGAACTGCTCTTGTGTAGAAAGCTCTGTTTTATACACACGAGTGTCTGTGAATTTGTTTCTCTAGTTTTCTCAGACGAACCCCACTTTAAAGATCAGAAAAGACATGGTAGTGAGAAAGCCCTAGGAATTCAGACTTCATGCCTTTTCTCTATTCTGAATGGGATGCAAATGTTCTGAGCCACCCATAATTCTGAATCAAATGGGACTCATTCAGTTAGCTTTTTATCTTACAGATATTTTCTTTTTATCCCCTACTGCTTTTCATTCCATCTTGTGCATACAGGTAAGAGTCAGATCTCGAGACATCAGAAAAGCCTTCTTGCTTCTTTCTACAAGGTGCAGTACCAACCCAGGAAACAAAGGCTATTGCATGAAACACACCACTCAACTCGATAACTCTGAACTCACAGAACTATTTGCAGCACCGTGTCAAGCCCAAAGTCAATGCCTACCCTTGAAGGAGATACCCAGAGGGCAAGAGATGAGAAGAGTCAACATACCCATGTGCTAAGGCTCTGATAGAAATCACAAAGACAGAGAGAACTGACACTCCGTTGAGGTTATAAAGGAAGGTCTTTGAGGCAGAAGGAGTCATATGGCAAAAGTTCACAGAATAAGAACAACATGCATGGGGGCGCCAAGCTCAAGAGTGGAAAGTCAGCGTATTTCACCTCACTGGCATCGAGTTGAGTCCGATTCATAGAACAGGGTAGAACAGCCCCTGTGGGTTTTGGAGACGAAATCATGACAGGAGTAGAAAGCCTC